TCGTAGAGACTGCCGACAAAACAAGCGTATGATTTAATCACGCCTTTGATACTTCACCTCTCTTTGTAGTTCGCCAGTAGGAACTTATGATTTAACGCAGCTCAAAGAGCTGATTGAGTAAGAAGCTAGGCGGATCCATGCAAATTCCGATTGACATTTTTTTTTCTGGGTTGGCAGGTTCTTGAAACAGTGAATGTCTCGACTCAATTTCGGCATGTCTGCATATTCATTCATTCATCATGGCGTTTAACAGGTGCGTTCACTGATAAAGGCTCAAAAATTCATTAAACGCCCAAAAACGAGCAATTAAACGCTTGCGCAGGCTCGGGCACACGCGCTCCCAATGCAGAGGGGGTGAAAACGTATTTATTTATTTATTTATTTACATGAAATTTTCTGCGGAGAAGCTCCGAGTAGTCGGAGATGCTTGGCTTGCGGTGGGGGGGCCCTTAGTCCAGGGCTCCGCTTGCAGCAGCCGCTCTGCGGGCCCGGTTGATCAGACTCAACTGATCTTCCAGGTTCTCGCTGGCCAGCAGCTCCTCCCATCGCTCCGCTGTTGGATTTTGTACTGGTTGTAAGGTTGTAATGGCCTGACACTCCCACGTGACGTCGTACAGAGTGGCTTTAGCTGAACACCATGGGCAAAGAGGACAGTATGCCGAGGGGTTCATTTTACTCAGGATGTGCAAATTTGGAAACGTGCCGGTTTGAATTTGCCTCCAGCTGACCGATTCCTCTTTATTTAGTGTTCGGTGTGGTAGCGAATAAGCTTTCCTAAGTCCTCTGTAATGGTTTTGATGGCAGAATAGTTGCATGGGACCGGAACGAGTTCCTCAGGGGCGGAGTTGGAAGGTGCTCGGCTCGCATACCTTCGAGCTACCCTATCCGCTGCCTGATTCCCTTCCAGTCCCATGTGGCCCGGAGTCCATATAATCCGATGCCAAATTCTGAGTGGATGTGTAATGGAATGCTCGACAGTGTCTGTAACGCTCAGGATGACGTTGAGAGCGGGTTGGCTGATGCGCCCCTGTAGGTAGTTGCGGCAAGCTGCTTGAGAGTCCGTGAGAACTGTCAGCGACCTTCGTTCTCTGTAGCCGAGGGCGAGAGCGAGCGCGATGGCAGTTTCTTCAGCATCGGTGATGTTGTGGCACCGCACGGAAGCGCTGGTACGTTCTGTGAGTGTGTGGTCCACGACTGTGGCTACAGCTTTATTGTTTGCATGGTCGTAGTTGGCGGCGTCAACATAGTACGTAGTGTTTTTGTGTGCATAGGTTCGCTCGAGGACTTCCACTCTGGCTTCCCTCTGGCCCTGATGTAGTCGGGGATCCATATTGCGGTGGATGGGAGCGACCTTATAAGTGGCACGAACTTGGTCCGGAATGGGCTTCCGACGAGCTGCGTCGTGAAACTGGCTGATGTAGCCAAGGCGTAGGAGCAGGTCACGGCCTGTAGGTGTTTGCGTGAGCCGTTGTAGTTGTGTGGCGAGTTGCGCTTCACAAAGTTCTTCAAAGGTGTTGTGTAGGCCCAATGCGAGGAGCTTGCTAGAAGGAGTACCCGGTGGTAGCTTGAGTGCCGCTTTGTAGGCCTTGCGGAGCATTGCATCTACTTGGTCCTGTTCGCTTTTGGTGAGGCGTTGGTAGGGCAAACTGTATGTCACCCTACTGACCACGAGGCTACGTATGAGTTTCAGGGTGTCCTCCTCGCGCATGCCATGGCGACGAGTGGCTACCCGAGATATCATTCGGGCCACTTGCAGTGTAGTTGTGCGGAGAAGGGAAAGTGTGTGATTCACATGGCGGTTTGACTATACCCACATGCCTAATATTCGAATGGTGGATTTCTCTGAAATTTGTTTGCCAGCAAGGACGACCTGGAGGCGGGAGCCTTGGTTGTTATGCGCCGATGGTGAGAGCTTGCGTCGATAAATTCGTAGAAGCTCAGATTTTTCTCTTGCACAGGCCAGGCCTCGTGCCTGCGCGTATTGTTCGACGCATGTGGCTGCCTGCTGCAGGTTATATTCTTTTTCTCCAAGGGACCCCCGCGTGGCCCAGACGGTGGTATCGTCCGCATACATTGCGTGATGGATGCCATCGATGCGGTGGAGTTCATGTGCCAGGCCAACCATAGCTACATTAAAGAGTAGCGGGGAAATCACTGAGCCCTGTGGGGTGCCCTTGTTCGGAACCCTGATAACATGTGATCGGATGGGGGCGAGACCGACTGTGGCAGTGCGGTCCGACAAGAAGGCGTGAACATAACTGTAGACGCGCTGCCCACCCAATGCAGACACTCCTGAAATCTTCAGTACCATGCGGCTACAGTGCCGCCGCTACTGTCATCCACCGGAGAATCAGCCGAGATGCGGCGCGGCCGCCTCATTCACTCCACTGCCCCCTTCTAGTACACTGTAACCTGGTGCCGTCGTTTACGAAGAGTATCACCGTCGCAGCACGGACTCGCACACAGAATTTCGTGCCGACCGGTTGTGCCCCCGCGATCTCCGACGATGGCGCAGCCCTGCCCGACTGGGCTCCCCCTATATGCCATCTCCAGACGCCGACAAAAGTTCTCGCCGAGTGGAGCCCCTTCCTCGGACTGCTGCGACTGTGTCCATCTTTCCTATCTCCTCTTCCGCCGCTCGCGGTCCCTGCGCCTCGCTCTCTCCTTCCTCTTTCTATATATACCTTTTAATCATATCCTTTTAATCCCTTCTTACCCCCATCCCTTGTGAGCTACTGTTGAGGTGTCGCACTCTGATGCAGACAGTTACGGGGCTCACTTTTCTCTTTTCCCTTTCAAAATCGCATAAGAAGAAAAAAGTCACAGCACTACCGTGTACGTGGAGCAGCTCGTACGTGTACGTCAGGCCCTCATTTTCTGTGTGCGCGCCCGCAAAATGAAGGAAGAGCAGCGTTCATCTTGAGATTTGACCCATTTCCGCGGCGCGTAGCGTCGCAAATTCTGGCAGACACGTGATCGTGAACGCCCCGTGTGCGCATTGCGCTTGTCAGCTCAAAATTGTCAAGTCTGGTGAGTGGCTCTTTAAAGGCTTGTAGTTTCAGTTTCCTTGCCGCCGATGATTTTACCTGGCGTGCGCCGAAGACGCGGCTGCTGCCGACTCGGAACGACCCACAGGGCGCAAACTTCTAGGACTGCGACTCGCGACCGCGCAAAAGAGGAGACGCACGTCGTGCCTCTAAGCCCATCCATTATCTGGCATATGGTCCCGTAGCGCTGCGTATCATTCGGCTGACGACGGCAAGCATCACTGCAAATGGTGCCACCGCGACACCCTCGCTTTGCGCACTATAAAGTGCCAACCACTGGCACGCGTATGCTCACGTCTACGCGTCAAAAGCGTCAAATGCGCCTCTCGGCGTCGGCGTCGGAGGGGCATACGCGAGGAGGCGCGAGGGATCAAGCCGGGCTTGATATTTTTGCCACGCGTGCGCTACGTCACCACGCGTACAGCGGCGCCAAACACCTTCCTCCGTGGGCGCCAAACACCTTCCTCCGTGGGCGCCAAACAACGAGGGGCCGCGTGCCAACCAACCAGAGGCCGCGATGCCTCTGAATGTTATGCCTAATGGCCGCCGCTTCGAAGCATGACTAGAGTGTACTATCTAGCATGACCTTCTGTACTCCTGACCTGCCCAGCGAGCGAAGCGCCAGCACGCCCTTTATAAGTATAATGACGAAAAGTATAATGACGATCTTTTGCTACCATCTCCTCGTGCCGAGCTGCGATGGAAGCGCTCAGGTAGGTGCAGTTTGTACACTTGCGAAGCGAGGTTTCTTGGTGCAAATGAACCATAACGATGGTGTTTGCTGCGTGCCTTTCTGCGAATCAAGGCAAGGGAAGACTTCTGATGTGACTTTTCATGAGTTTCCAGTGATCGAGGTTGGTGAAAAATGGATCAAGGTGATTTCTAGAAAGGGCAATTGGGCGTTGTCTGACATGCTGAAAATGTAATATGGGTTGCAAATGACTACGTGTCTTTAAAATAGTGAGTTGCTGGGCTGGTTGGTGGTGCATGACAGACTGAGACGCATATAAGCGCAAAAAAAATAAACCAACAACCTCAAAAAAGTAAACGACGACGTGCTATACTCACAACTTTTTATTAGCAAAAAAAAAGAAAAGATGACAAGTGTGCACATATGGAAGCCATGTCACTACATGTAGTTATGCAACTAGGTTTTCAAACACACCCACTGTGGGAAGAAGCAGCTTCTTGGAGATTGCTTTGGTAGTTTAATTACATTACCAAAAAGAGCAGAGATCATTGCATAAGTGAATATTTATCCTCTGTCGCTTAATTAGTTCGACCTCGAACTTGAATTTATGTGCTACCGCATGTGATATAAACGTGTTAGTTTACCCGTCTACGCGCATGCATGACAAAAGGACATATACGTGAAAACTTTTCTCTTAATGAAAGGTTGTGAGTAGCGTGTTTTCTTGTCTTCTTTCTTGTGGTCATCCGTTTTATTTAGTGTTAATGTATCTCAGCCAGTTACGTGTGTCACATGGTTAACGAGGTGAAGTCGTATGCTCACTTCATAACTCTGTTTTATTCACTTCGCCACCATGGTATAAACTTCTAATTGCATGATATACTCCTTAGAAAAGAACAAAAAATTTTGTATTTTATTCACAAAATTTCACTGAATGTTCATCTTCTTCCTTTCAAGGTGCTCGAAATGAAGTTTAGCTCCAAAATGACAGGTCGAAGGTGTGCACTGTGCACTTTGCTCCAACCGACTATAAGCTGGGACTAAAGATAAAAAGACTGAAAGCGAATGCTGTGCCGCCAGTGTTTCCACACTATCGAAAGTACATGGTGCTACACGTGGCAAAAGTCCGCCACACCTTGAAACGTTCAAATGTTCAGGAACATAGACCCTGCCCAAAGAAAAAAAGTGACTAGCAATGTTTAATGCTTGACGTCTCCCCACGGCTCTTGCATCAAATTGGACCAATAAAAACGAATTTCAAGGAAAGGCTTAAAACAGAGCACAATTTTTTAATGCAGGAAGAAAACAGGTTCAGCCCCGGCGCACAGCAGAGCTTGACATCGAGCGACATATTTCATCAGTACCATCCGCAAACACAACTTCGGGACCATCCTCAGACTTTATGCACCCTCTCAGCGAATTAGAACGCACAGAACCACCTGGAACTGCACCTGGTGAAAAGCAAAAAAAAAAGACCAACGCTCATTGACCGCGCAAACAACTATAACCAGCCAGAAGATGCGCCGTGTGATGACTTCCGCAAAATCATCGCACCGGAAAGGCCGAACCATGGCAAGGAATAATGCTGAATTAAAAGCGCAAATAGCCAAGCTGAACCGTGAAGTTGCAGAGGTTAATCTGCTCTCCAAAAGAGCAAACGCTGCAGTCTTGCAGGTAAAGCTTGCTGTTTCGTTTCAAAACAGTTGCAGAGTGTTTTTTATTGATTATTCATGTACCTGCGATCTACATTTGCCATTTGAGACGAAGGTAATTATACGCGAAATTGTCTGTATTGGGTTGTTTTCTATGCGCGCTGGATGCCGCGGCCACTGTCAAACGTCATAGTCCTTGCACTTTCTTGTCCAGACAGTAAATTCAATCCAGCTGAGTGTGCGACAACAAGTCTACCTTTGTATACACGTGGAACCGGTATCATGAGTTAAATAAACATCTGGAGGGCCAGCACTTTTTACAACCTGTCTCTGTCATCATTCTTTTTTGTTTTGCACGATGATACATGTTTTTGTATCTTATTTGTGGTTCCATTTGAAAAATAATGCTCTGAAATGTCATGTAAAATGCAAAAGAAGATTCTAAAAGTCACATAAAATAAAATGATTCAACATACCCGTCCCATTTACTCAGACCGTGATGAAACTCTTTTCAAACCGGCAGCAACCCATGCATTTCTATGCATCCCCCGGCGCTCATGGATGGATGGATGGATATGGCTGTACCCTTTAGATCGGGCGGTGGCTAGCGCCATCAAGCCCTAATACTTAATGAACCCTAAACTATATTTATTTATTTTTTCTTAAAAAGTGAGTTTGAGGATTCGTACTTTGCAGTGAAGAGTTTAATTTTCACTCGTGCCTTGACTTTAGCCACCAATCAGATAACCTCCTTCTAGTTAAGTCTACCCGCTTAAAGTTTATTTTGCCCTCCCGGTCCCTAAACCCCAGTGCTTTGAAAAACTCTGCGCCATCGTCCTGAACTGTAGAGTGAAGCCCTTTACAGAACATTATCAAGTGTTCGGCAGTTTCTTCTTCCTCTCCACACGCACTGCATACTGTGTCTACCCCTTGTATTTGGCCCGATATGTCTTGGTTCGTAATACTCCCGTCCTGGCCTCAAACACTAAAGAACTACCCCGAGTACTATCATATATCCTTTCCTTGGCGATTTCCTGCTCAAAAGTTCAATAGATCTCTAGGGCGTATTTCTTAATCATGCCAATTTTCCACATGTCAGTCTCCGTTTCCTTCACTTTCTTCTTAACCGATAGTTCTTTTTGGTTTGGCCACCTGCTGTTTTTTAAGTATTTACCATTCGATTTCCTGGTTTGCTTCCTCCATTTTGTATCAATATTCTTCATGTACAAGTACCTGAAAACCTTCCTAGCCCACCACTCCTCTCCCATTTCTCTCAATCGCCTCTCAAATTTTATCTTGCTGCTACCTTCCCTGCCCTGAAATGATGTCTATCCCATATCACCTTGTACTCCCTGATTTGGTGTATTCCCGTGAGCTCCTAAAGCAAGCCTACCTAATCCACGTTGCTTAACTTTTAATCTTGCTTGAACTTCTGATCTCATGCACAAGACCGCATTGCCGAACGTCAGCCCAGGAACCATGGCCCCTTTCCAGATTTCTCTCACAACATCATACCTATTTTAATTCCACAGTGCCCTATTTTTCATCACTGCTGCATTCCTGTTACCTTTAGTCGTTACGATTATTTCGTGTTCCCTTAGGTACTCGGTCCCATTGCCGATCCATACGCCCAGATATTCGTATTTATCTGTTATCTCTAGTGCGACCTCCTGTATTCTAAGCTCACTACCTTCGTTATCATTAAAAATCATGACTGCTGATTTTTCCTTACTGAACCTAAAGTCTAACCTATCTCCCTCATTACCGAAGATGTCCATCAATCTCTGCAAATCTTCCTTGTTGTTGGCCGCCAGCACTATATCATCTGCGTACATTAATGCTGGTAGTGCCTGATCAATAAGTTTTCCTTGTTTGACTAAAAAGAGGTTGAAGCCCAGTCCACTTCCCTCTAATTTTGCCTCTAATCCTTGTAGGTACATCATGAATAATAAGGGTGACAGGGGGCACCCCTGCCTAAGCCCCCGTTTTACCTCTGCAGGCTCGGATACCTGTTTTTCCCACTTTATAACTACCTTGTTACATTTATAGATACCCTTTAAGAGATTAGTGACTACATGTTCCACGCGTAGTGTGTCCAGTATTCCCCACAATTCCTCTTGAACCACGCTATCGTACGCTCCCTTGATATCCGAAAATGCTAGCCACAGGGGCCTGTGTTCCTTTTCTGCTATTTCGATGCAATGCGTCAGTGAGAACAAATTGTCTTCCAACCTCCTGTGTTTCCGAAACCCATTTTGCAGTTCCCCCAGCACCCCCTCATCCTCTATCCACGCCTGCAGTCTTTCCTTTATAATCTGCATCGCCAGCCTGTAGACCACTGATGTCACTGTTATAGGACGGTAGTTGTTTATGTCAGCTTTGTCCCCCTTTCCTTTATAGATCATGCTCATCCTGCTAAGTTTCGATCCGTCGGGAACTTCACCATCAATTATTATTGCGCTCACTTCCTCTCTCAAAGCCTGCTTAGACTTCGGACCTAATGTCTTTATCAGCCTAATTGGAATGCCATCTGGGCCTGTTGATGTACTACTAGGAACCCTTTTCTCAGCCCTTTTCCACTCTTGTTGTGAAAATGGAGCCATTGCACCACTTAATTCGTCCTTGTCTATTGTGGCGCATAAAGTACTTCTTTGTTGAAATTTTTCTGTCACCTTTGTTCTTATATATTCAATAGCTTCTTCCCCTTGTAGCATAGCATCTTCGGCTGTAGTTATAAAACTCTGCTCTAGGCTCGTCTCATTTCTTAGGGAGTTTAGATGGTTCCAAAATTTCGCAGCTGCTTTTCTATCATTTTTGTGTACTTCTAGCTGCCAGCCACTGAGCTCCCTTCCTTCTAATCTTTTCATTGATCAGAAGGGATGTATCCCTTCTACAGCTTAGAAAGGTTGCCCATTTTCTTTCAACATCATCTGTCGGTTCACCCTGCTGCTTAGCATGTCTGTGTTCCCTAGAGGCTTTCTAAAGTTTTGCTCTGGCTCTCTTAACTTACCCATCCCACCAACTTTTGGGTTTGTGTCTTCTTTTCCGGGGTGACTTGTCACGTGCCTTAGCAAGCTCTAGCTCAAACGATCTAATTATATTCGTGTATGTCCACATTGTTTTATTATCCTCATTGATTACTTTCTCACTTTGTTTAGTGGCTATTTCAATTTGCCTTTTTGAATAAAAATTTTCCTGTAGTTGCTCATCTTGTCTCCTTTCCAATTTCACTGCTCTTCCAAAACTTACCTTGATACGTTTGTGATCGCTACCCAGACTTCTGGAGCTACCTTCATCTATGTGCATTCCGCTGAGCTTATCATACATCCTATGTGACATCAGTGCATAATCTATCGTCGACTGAAGCCTTCCTACCTCCCATGTTATTTGCCCTTCATTTGACCTGCCACTTTCCCTTTTAGCCATAAATGTTCCTTGCACTCCTGCTTGACCCTTTGCCAGTCTGTACTTTTATGAATGAATGCCCCAATACCACCCCACCCCCCTTTCTGCTGCCTTCTGTTCTATTACAATATTCCCACGCGTAGTCCGGATTGTTCGGAGGTTGTACCGTGTCCCTGAGATGTGTTTCTACAAAACCGTATACCATCGGCCTCTCTTCCCTTAGCTGTTCTTCTATCTCTTCCCACTTCAGCCTGTTCCTACCACCCTGCATGTTAATATACCCTATGTCTGAATTGGCTCGGCGCTCGTGGCTACGTCTATTTATGCCCCGGACTCTACCTATCTTAGATATTGGTGCCACTTTGGAATCGTATCTGTCCATACCAGCTGTCGAAGAGTCTCCCTGGTTGTTTTCCTCGTTACTAGCTATCCTGCACCCCGAATGGCTCGCTTGCCCCCCAAAAAAGCTACTGCGCGTCCTGCAAGTCGCCAACCCACCTCATGACCTAGCCGCCCATCGAAGTGAATTCTGTCTCGTTGAAAACCCCCCCACCTATGCACGTCTCTGTTTATTTCCACCACCTCAAAGCCTTTTTCTCGACTCATCCGCCATATCCCTTGGTTTGCGTTGACCACCGCTCTTTGGAGGTTGCTATCACGCACCGGTACCTCCGCTATCGTGCATATGACTACCTGTACCTTAGGAGAAGTGGCGCGCATGTCATCGACGCCTTTCGCCAGTGTGGCTGCTAGTCCTGCTGCATCTTCATTTAAGACATCATTTAAACCACCTGAAATTATGACGAGCTTTCGTCTATCAGCTGTCGTTTTGAGCTTTGCGCTCGCTTGCCTCATGACTGCTTCCAGCTTGCGTCCTGGGAACGCCCCTACTGCAACCCTCTTGTCACCTCTTACCTTCTCTTTGATGGCTTCTGTGCATCGATTTAAATTCGAGTCCCCAGCGATTATCACATGCTGTGACTTTTCAGCTGGAGCGTTCTGCACATGGGGGCTACTTGCACCTGTGACGCCAGCTGCTTTGTCCCCTCCCAGCCCCACCACTTCCTCACTGAAGCTGGGCCTTGCGACAGTTGAACCGGCTAAACCTGTTTTTCCAAACTTGCTTGCTTTTCCTTCTCCACCGTTCTGGTTGCTGGTTCCCTACTGTTCTCTCGGTAGGTCGCTTCTTTGTTCAGCTTCGCTAGCACTTCCTCGGCGGACTCCAGTCTTTCTCCCATTGCCCTCGTTTTCTCTTGCTCTGACGCCAACGCAGTCTCGAGCTCGGCGATTCTCATCAGCAGTTCACTCTGGGCAACAATCATTTTCTCCAATTTTTCCTCGACCTCACATTGCCTACACTTCGCGTCAGCCTCTTCTCCATCCGCTTCTACGCT